TGACTGCACGCTCCTTTTTTTAATTACTTAATTGAAATTTAAACAAAATGTAATTAATTGTTGATTATATCTGGAAGAAGAAAATCTTAACTTGTTATATTTAATAATTTTTCAAAATATCCTCTTTTTTAAATATAAAACAGTAAATTAAAAGAGAAAAATTTTTAAATATGAGAAAAATTTCTCAAATTTTTTTTACGCTACTCATAATAAAATTATAGAAAGATGGAATTTAAAGAGATTGATTAATAATTCACATTTTTATAAAAAATTATAAAAAATAATTTTTTTTGGGAGCTGAATTATATATAGTGGGAAGAATGATAGATAGATCTGAAGGAAACCAATTAAATTAACTTAAATTTTAAGTATTAAATTTTAAAAATTTATAAATTTGATTGTTAATTTTAGAACTTCGTTGTGGTAAATTTATAACTAGTTAATTAAACTTAATAAAAATTATTTATTTTTTTAATTATGTTAAAATTTTAAAAATAAATTCTAAATTTATAATAATAAAATTATAAAATTAAGAGTTAAATTTATAAATTTTTAAAATTTAATATTTAAGATTTAAGTTAAATTATCTTTTTGTCATTTTCCCTGCATAGTACCCAGTGGAGTGCGCTCCTAAACTTACCACTAACATCTCAAGAAAAGAAAAGAAAGGGAGAGAGAAAAAATTAAAAGGAAAAGATCCATGGGAAAATGACACAAACATACCTTCCAAATAGGTAAATGACAACAGAGTACCAAAAAATAGAGTAATTTTTATAAAGTGCCAATGGACTTGTTTGACATTATATCATTTTGCAAAATGACCTTTTTCACCCCCTGAACAGTGAAAAGGCCGCGATGCTTGACGCGTGTTGACTTGATTGTGGTGAACGTGTTCATGTCCTTTCTTGATGACCCCCTCAGAAACACAATGTTTTTGACAAAAATTACACATTTAAACCCAAACGTTGACAACTTTTTGGGAATACAGATTTTTTATAATTTTTAATTTAAACATTATAATTAAAAAAATTATGTATAAGTTCAGTAGGATAAACTTACTCATTCATAAATTTGTAAAATTTAAAAATCATAACCAAATCCCTTGAAACTTAAATATAATTTAAAATTAAAGTGTAGAAATAATAATTCTCCTATTAAAAATACATTGCATCAATCTAATAATTTAAAATTATCACTTTAAATTTTTTATAATTTTAATTTTAATTTTTTTTATCAAATATTCAAATATTTTAACTATTGAATGTGTAACGTTATAATTGTAAAAAATTAAAATAATAATTATAAATTAGAGATAAAATAGTTATAAACAATTAGTATTATATTTTATTAGTAATGCATAATTAATTTAACTTTTAAATATACGATAACAAGTTAAAGTGATAGTTATGAATTATTAATAAAATACTCATAAACAATTGGTATTAAAATTTTTAATAACCCATAATCATTTTAATATGAAGTTATTGTTTAAAAAATTTAAAGTGATAGTTGTAATTTACTAATAAAGCATTTGTAAATTATTTGATTGATATAATATAATTTTAATAAAAAATATTATTTTTTGATCCTAATTTTAAATTATATTCAGATCTTAAGGGATTTAATTATAATTTTTAAATTTTATAAAGTTTATTTATAAATAAGTCTTCTCCATGAGACTTTTACATAATTTTCGCTAGTTATGTTTAACATCAAATCAATTTGCATTAAAATTTTATATAATTATTATATTTTAAAAGTCACTATTACCAAATAATAAAAATATTTGTAAATAAGTTATAAAATATATTTAAAAAGTAAACAATCAAAATCATAAAATATAATCTTTAAAAATAAATTAAAATAAAATTATCTCTATTTCATTTTGTTAAAATTACAGAAACATTGATTGTTTCTAAACATTACATTTTAATTCAATCTTTAATATTATTAGGAATATTCTATTAAAAATTATAAAATACTTATTTTTTTGTTTAAATTATGTAAAACATTTTAAAATTATTAATTTACCCTTATGATCTAATTATCTACTCTCTCTTTCTCTCTCTCTCTCTCAATTTTAAAACTTTACTCTTTTCATTTAAAAATATAAGGCATTTTTTGAAGGGTTAAATGTTAAAAATATAAAGTATTTTTAACCTTTTTAAGGTGTAATCATTACCTTTTTTTAAAAAAAATACTCTTATTAAATAAATTATTTTATATTTATTTTAAAATAAAACACCCTGTGAAATATAAGTAAAGATGAAAAAATAGGATTAGTTTGAAAACAAACAACTACTTCATTAAAATGTGAGATTAAATTACAAATATTTTATATTTTTTAATGAAGAAAGTAAAAAATTAAGTATGTTAATATTTAAATAAATTGGCTAAAAATTTCTGTTGAATTAATGAAATTTTAAAAAATAAGCATAGTAATTTATTATATTAAGTTCTTATTTCATAAATTTTCTTAAATTTGTGTTAGAATGTTGTTTCAGCTAATGTATGTATTTAATTTGTTTAAAAAAATATTAAATAAAAAAGTAAAAAATATATGCATCAACTCTTTTGAGTAATTTAAATTATTTTTAAACAATGTGCATATTTGAAGAGGGATGTTTTAGTTTAACATATGATGCAAAATGGGAAAAGAAGAGGGGAAGAGAGAGCAAAGAAAGTGGAGGAAGAGAGGGATAGAAAGAGGAATACCAAACTCTCAAAAAAAATTTTAAATAATATTCACAGTTAAATATAAATGAAAATCTTAACTTTATTTGCAGGATTTTAAAATAATAAAATAATAAATTTAAATTTAATTTAAAAAGATACTGATAAGAAAATCTAATTAAATCCCAAACAATCTAATGGATATCCTAAACATCCTTATTTGAATTATCCTAATAAAATAATACTAAATATCTAAAATAAACTAATTAAATTATAAGCATATTCCATCACACATGACCTAATGGTCAATTAACAACTGGCTTAATAAAAAAAATCCTAAAACAGAGAAAATTCTCGTGTTTTATAATTATCCATTTTAGAACAAGTTTATGTGTGTTTTTAAAAATAGAAGAGAGGTGTCTATAATTAAGGTAAAATAAAGGAGAAGATCAGGACATTTTATTTTTAAAACTAGTCTAAATTTTTACTCAAAAATTCACAAATTTTTTGTCATCATTAATTTATCATGGATTTATATATAGTCAGACTAATGTCAATTTTCAATTTTAAACTATTTTTAATGATTACATTTTATTACTTTGATTGTTTATTTTTTAAAAATATTTTATAACATATTTAAAAAAATTTTATTAATCGGTAATAGTGGAGTTGGAAAATGGGCAGGCTTAGCCTTTACAGGCTAGCCCTTAAACTCAGTTTTCCTTTTTTATTTCATTTTTGAAGTCTGACCTTTATTTGAAAGGCGCAGGGTCAAGCTTATAACTCCTGTTCTAAAAAAATTAAAACAAAATTAAGTACTACAAATTAATTAAAATATTTTAATTTTTTTTAAAAATTCTCATAATCTGGTAGAAATTAAATAACACAATTTAGAAGTCTAGTAATAAAATTTAAATTTTAATTAAAAAATATTTTATTTTTTATAAATATAAAAATATAATAATTATAAAAAATAAAAATATATCAAAAATATTATACTGTGCACTGATATTTATTAAATTATATTAAATTAATTTTGATTTGGAATAAATTAAAATTAATAATAATATAATGTGTATAGAATCAAGGTTTTAAATGAGCAGGTTCTTAGCTTCAAACCCGTGTTTCAACAAAATAATAATAATAATAATAATAATAATAATAATAATATAACATGGCTTGAAAGGCTACCAAAACCTGAGCCTTTTTTAACAGGGCTTATCAAAGCTAGGCTCTTAAGCCCGGTTACTTTAAAAAAAATTCATTTTCAAAGCCCAAATTTTTATTTAAATAGGACCTCAAGCCCAACCTTCCAGGCTCAACCCTTGTTCCCAACTTTCGGTAATAGTTACTGTTCGTAAAAAAAAAAATCAGGTGTGGTGTTATAAGGCATGCCAGAAACACAAGGTCTCAAAATGATGGAAGAACCTAACTTCTAATTAAATGTTAAAATCTTGGGCTCTCTTACCACAGTTCACCTGGATGTGAGAATGCGAAGTAAGGAAAATTAATGTAGATGTAGGAAAGGAGAGATACATTAATTAAAGAAAGACATAGCGGACTATACCGGTCATACAATAAAAAAGACTAAAACTATATGATAAGAAGAAAAATAACATAACGCAACAAACGTGGAGTCTGAGAATTTGACTAATAGTTTGTCAATGCTGATCCTTCTTGTTGAGAAAGGGTTCCTCTATTTATAGATGATTCTGACTTGATATTCAAGTCTCATGATCGTCAGTTTTCTTGAATTTAGAAAGCACTTCTTCTATCATGGCTACTCATCATGAGTGGAGTATTGATAGTTTTGACTTAATGGTTAAGATTTCATAAATATTTTTTTTATTATTTTAAAGCTAATTAAATTGAGTTGAGCTCGAACCTCCAAATTCATAATTTGAGTACAAACAATTACTTTTAAAATATTTTAATTATCTAAATTTAAATTATAATGATTTTGACATTAAAAAATAAGTATAAGATTTAAATTTAAAATTACCAAAAACTATATTCCAAAAAATTATAATATTTTAGATATGAATGAGTACTTCTTAACAAAAAAACAAACTATAGTACTTCTTAAAAAAAAAATTTATGTTTTTGGAGGGAAAAGTACAGTTTTTCCCAATCACGTCATCACGTGTCAAGTGTCACTTTCTTTTCATAAGGTTAAAAAAGTCATTTGGCAAAATTCTGCAATATCAGACAAGAAGGCTGGGACTCCACAAGAATTATTCTATGCCATAGTACTTTGCTATTATTTACCTGTTCAAAAGGTATTTTTGTGTCATTCTCCCAAGATTCATTCTCAAATTATGAACTGTACTGTAGATTTGAGCACCCTCGACTTTATGAAGAGGAAAAGGAAAAGGAAAACCAAGGCCTATGGGCAATGCTCTTTCTTCTCTCTCATCCCTTTACTCAGGACCTATATATTCCACCATCCTTTTCCCCCATACTTCAGGGCCATTCCTCAGTAACAATCGGACCTCATCTCTCCCTCCCTTATCAATGGCGTTTCGCAGATCCTTTGCCAACCGCCTCTCTCATTGTTGTAAAACTATCACACAGTCCGCAACTTCAGAACTCACTGCCATCCCCTCCTCTTCGATCCATGCCACCCTCCCTCCCAATGCATTCAAAACGACGCTCCTTCCGCAGTACTTCGCCTCGCCTGATTCCTCAAGCGGAGCTTTTTACGGCCGATTTCACCAACGCAGAGCCGTATATGACTCCGGCCCTGCCAAACTGCCGGAGCTTTTATCGTTTCCCGTCGGAGAGGAACTCAGGGAGAGGCTCAAGGCCATCGGCATCAGGGGAGATCGTCTCCGCCTCGATGGTCCAGGTCCCCCGGCGAGGGATCAGACCAGCGTCGATTCAATGTTCGGATTTACCATCAATGACGCTAGGAAGATCCTGAGGCTATCGCGGGTGGAGAAGCTGAAAGCGAGGCTGAGGGAGATCCCAAGGACCTCGATTTTTCATTCCGAGTATATAGGGATCTGTGTTGATGCTTGCGAGGATGTTGATGAGGGCGCCGAGTTGGCCAAGATGCTGGACGAGTCCGGGAACGTCATCGTTTTGGGAAACGTGGTTTTCCTGCGGCCCGAACAGGTAGTTACGCTCCCTATACGTGCTTTGTTTCGGATTAATATTTGAGTAATTGCCGTAAGATGCCTGTTAAAAGTAAGTAACGACGTTTATGAATAATAATAATAATAATAATAATGAATGAATGAATGAATGAATGAAATAAACAAATGGGCCGTAAAATAGGGCATCTTGTGAGGGATGCGTGCGTTTGATACGCCCTGGATTCGGGGACCCTGGTTCCCCTGTCGTCGAAGGATTGGTAACCTAAGTTTTGTTTGAACATGTAAGATTCATTGCGCGGGGGAGTTTATATATTTGTTTCCTTTTCAGTTTTAAAACATGTCTGGACTTGACATTGATAAAGATATTTATATTGAATTCATGGTTTGAGGGTGACAGGTGGCGAAGACGATGGAGAACTTAATCTGGAAAACAATAGGGCATCCAGAGGACCCGAGGAGGATGGAACTGGAGGAAATGGAGAGGCAGAAGGCAATGATAGATGAGAAGGCAAAGGCCTCGGTGCGGGGTGAGCTTTACTGCGGATTAGGATTCCTGGTGGTGCAAACCCTGGCATTCATGAGGCTCACGTTCTGGGAGCTTAGCTGGGACGTGATGGAGCCCATATGCTTCTTCGTCACCTCCTTCCACTTCGCTCTCGCCTACCTCTTCTTCCTAAGGACCTCCACCGAGCCCTCCTTCCAGGGCTACTTCTTCCGCCGATTCACTGTCAAGCAGCGACGCTTGATGAAGACGTACCAATTCGACGCCCGCAGATACTATGAGCTCTGCCAGGCCTTCTATCCTCATCACGACGCTGCTCCTAAATCCCGATTCTCTTCCTCCTTTATTCACCCCGAAGCAACAGTTCTTGGTTCCACGCAGCATTGAATAATGATGATGTCCGTATCTTACATACGATCGTCCCAGAATGGACTACTTGAGAACTAAAGTTCGGTATTTCAAGTTACACTGCTTGTCACGGTTTTTTTTCCCCCCCTTGAGGGCTTTCCCTTTGCGGCTCAGTTAAATGCCTTCGTTAATACGAAATAATAGGTTGATAGAGGGTGGGGCAAAATACCGCCAGTTGTAGGAACTCTCTAGACCTTGTACATAGTACATACAAATAGTTGGACTTGATCCACGGTCTTGGCTCTTGGGAGGGTTCCGTATTCACAGCAAATTACAGCCTTCTTACTTGGTTAAGAAGAAAAAAATCATGATATTGCAGCCTTTGTTTCATATAACAGTGCTTTGCTTTCCTCTAGGTTGTTATGCTAATACTTTTCTGTTATTTATTATTGTATCCAGTTTATAATCAATCGGATTTTTTCCAACTATCAAATTCATTTTACAGTTTTCTGAGCATGTAGGATTGCATTGCCGGACTTACCGTGTCATATTAAATTAAACGATGCTTTTTTATGCAGAGGGAGTAATTGTTTTAAGGACAAAACTTACATCCAGTCCCTTGTATCTTTTCATCCTGTTTTCCAATCTACACGTGACACGTGGACACTTTTACAGCCCTCCTTCCATCTCACTTGTTCTTTTAACACCGTCTGGCAAATTAGCAAACACTAAAGAAAGAGCAAAAAAAAAGAAAAAAGCAAAAATTGGTGGCAGGTGCATGTTTGCCCAGAAGTGAAAGGTCTGCTGTGCAATTCGTCGCCTCTTCTTTCGGTCAATGGCCCATTATCTTAAAAGCCAGGTCCTAACGGGCAATGACAAATTAAACCATATCAACTCCGATGAAAAGTCCAAAATCAAATCATACTACTCCGGCAAAAGCCAAGCGGTGTCCACGAAAACCATGACTATCTAAATAAATCTCGTGGTTGTGGAGTCTAAGAGGGTGGTTGTGTTGTGTTACGAAACCCCTCAGTCCAATCCATAAGGGGCTGAACAATAGACATCATTTAAAGGTAAAGGTTGAGGGACCTCTTTTCACTTGTAAGGGAAGTTCTTGTCCACTTCATAATTACCTCTAAACACCCTAAAACTCTTGTTATTTTTTTTTTTTTGGCTTTTACAATCAACATTATAGCATTGATATTTTCAATGATTAAGACAATCTTATAACATTATAGCGTTAATATTTTCAATAATTAAGACAATTTTATAACATTATATCATTGATATTTTCAATAATTAAAACGACCTCAAATATTTTATTTCTTATATATTGATCATAATTTATTTAGTCAAATCTAAATTTTACCATCCTTAAATACAAAAATTATAATATATTACCATTATAATTAGGAGTCAGCAAGCTAAAGATTTTAAAAAATATATGTACCTATATCTAGAAAGTCATTTTGAAAAAAAGATTATTTTCATCAAAATTTCCTCTAGCATTGATATCTAAAAACTTTTAAAATGACTCAACTTTTAATCCTAAATATTATATATTTCAGTCGTAAGTATTAACACATGTATAGATAGTTTCATAGAAAACTTTATCATTGATCAAAATGCATCATATATATAATACCTTTAACATATGTGTATATGTAAGAGTTATTAAATATATTTTTCTATGCTGTAAAAAAAAAGTTAATGTCAAATATGCATATGCATGGAGGGAGGAAAATAACTTATTCATTCTTATGAGTGTTATCAACATTTACTTTAATATGCAAACATGATGATATTTGAATGTTCGATTACAAGACTTTGTGAATAAATTTTTTTAAATCAGCATAGTCATTGTTTGATATTTTCCTCAACAACTTACAATCCTTTATGATAATTGTCATTGACATTCCTACAGCCCAAAAAACGACAGACAATGTGTCTGTATGACTATAGGCCGTATTTTTTGTAATATAAACTCTATTAACTATGATCTTCAAGATTATAGAAAAATAATTTTTTTTAAACTATTAGCCTTTAGAGTTGTGGTAGCTGAAACAATTGAATTACTAATCAAGATGCTCATCAAAATTTCACATAGTTTAGAGAAATTATTAGGACTGTAAGACTATCCTTTTATATAATAATTATAATAAAAATTGAGATGACTTCTGACCATATAATAACAAAATTAACTATTACTTTTGGTCGAATAATCGCAAATAAATCAAATATGACTTCTAACCATTTGATCATAAAATCACATATAACTTTTGGCAATCCAGTAACAAAATTACAAATGGCTTTCAGCCATTCAATAATAAAGTTAAATATGATTTCTGATTATATGATAACAAAATCAAATATGACTTAAAGCCATACAATAACAAAATTAAATAATATTTATAGTCATATAATTTATCACGATTATAAATTGATCATTTATAAAATACTAAAAATTTAAAGTGATATGGCCTCAGGCCATAATCAAAATAAGATGGCTATTAATAATTTTACTGCAAAAGTATTAAAAAAACCAAATAAATAAAAATAAAAATAATATACACACACGCGCTTAAATATAGATAACTTTAAGATTTATTTTATATTTGTGAATAGCTTCAGGGTTCACTCTAGGTTTTGTAAATATTTTCAAATTTGCTTCATCTTTTATGTTAATAACTTTATGATTCACTTTATATTTTATATGTATAGCTTCATGATCTATTTTATGTCATGAATGGATAACTTTAGGATTTATTGTTCTAGAAATTATACATGTAAATAGCTAAATTTTATATATAAACAATAAATTAAAAATAAGAAATTGAAAGCACATGGGATAAATAAATAATTGAATGTAGATATTTTTAGAATCTACATTATATAATATGAATATATAATTTTAAGATTCACTTTTAAGTTCTATTGATCCGCTTGATATTTTATTTGAATAAAATCAGTATCCATAATAATAGATAAATAATTTTAGGATCTACTTTGTATTTTATGTGGTAATCTTCTAGATCCACTTTATATTATATGTAGATATCTTTAAAATCTACTTTTATATTTTCTACGTGAATAATTTCATAATTCACTATATATCAAATGTGAATAACTTTATGATTCACTTTATATTATGTGTTAATAACTTTTGGATCCATTGTTTTAAAATTAAATTGTGCTTCATACTTCTGGATATGATACACAATATGCAATTATTTGATTAATTGAGGGAAGAAGAAAATAATTGAACAAAAAATAAATTAGAAAATAACATAAATAATAAGAGTGCACGGATGATAGAGACTTGCTCAATATTCAACCAACCGTGCCTCCATCTCTATCAAAGATGTTCATTGGTATGGACATTAATCTCTAATCCAATAATTACAAGGGTAGTTGTGATGATAACATAATATGAAAATAGAGATCGAAAGTAGAAGAGAAAAGAAAAAACTGTACTGAAAATAAGAGAATAAAGAGATTTCTTATTCAGTGGGTAGAATAGAATTGAGGTGCCTTCTATTTATAAGTATAAATATATCAATTAAAAAAATAAAATATATAAGATAATAATAACTTAAATATATTGAAGAATACGAGATAATGAACATCCACATAATATTTTAATATTCATAATATTATTTTTTTAACGCAATATCACAATGTAAATTGTGAAAATAAAAATCATGATACTAGATAAAATGAGAGCTCGAAAAGATCCTGCATCCGAGTGACAGATCATATAAAATTGTTGTGTTGAGTGTTTCATGATCAGATTCAGGGCCAGCCAGTCAGTGTAACTGCTTATCTACCAGCTCTTTCTTTTGGGCTTGCGACAAGCTTTACGGGCTTTAGCCTCCTGCAACTTTTCCATGACCAATTGCCCACTAAAAATATGTCCATTTTTTAGCCCAAAAGAAGCGCCCATTTTAAAATTGATATGACCTCCATAGCTCACGGGACAGGGCAACGCATGATCCTATTCAGCCTCTCCACAACTTACAGGTTCGTGAACACTTGCGCGGAACTGCACACCCCGAAGCTGTTCACGTTAAATTACGAGCGAAACCATTTAATTCAATAACTAACGATATAATTTCAAGAGGAGACAAAATCGTCTGAATAAGTGCATATTTTATGGTTAAATCACATTGAAATTCAATCCACAGTACCCTAAAATTGATTGGATCAAAATTTGTTTATTTATAATCTTTTCATGAATTTTATTTTTTGTCATATTGCATCGTGGTTAAATGTAACTAATTCAGTAAAACTTTTCTTATATATGGGTTCATCACTTGAAATGATCCAACTAATTTATTATTGCAGTCTCACATACCTGCAAGAACGATCACACACATTTTATCATTAAGGTCCGATTACCTTTTCTTTTGATCTGCGTGTATGTATCATAGGTTTTTTTTGAGTTATGCGCAAATATTTTTTTTTTGTTTATTAGAGACAATTTAAAATATGATCGAGTAATAGATAGGAGCATTTCTCTTGATATAAATTCAAGCATTAGATCGTGACACTGTAAAGGTTTAGTATTCAAGTCTTGTTCATCCATAGTCATATCTTTAAAAATGCAAGTTTCTTTCTTGATGACAACGCTTTAAAACGCAAGTTTGTAGTCTGTGCGAACCCACGCGCAGAAAACAAGGGTAGCTAGGTAGGATGTTTACGAAAACAGCACAAACGTAGCTGACGCTCTCACCGGATGAAGTAAGTGATGGCCAATTCCATATAAATAAAATGTTATTAATGCCCGAAGACATCCAAACTCCAAAGGTCGCCAGTCCTTGCAGCAAGCCCTCTTACTCCCAATAATAGTAAATACATAGTGAGAGCTTTCTACAAAAAGGCTTACCCTCATTTAGCACCAACCAAAGTTCAGGCAAGCCTTCTTAATGAACTCATACTCGGACGATGCCTCCATCGTGCATGTCCCGCACTAACATTAATTAATCGAATCCTTATTTCAAGAATCATGCTGCGTAGACAAGTCTTAATTTGGTAGGTTCGGCGTGCTGTTTTTCATTGCTGGGCTCCGTTTTTTTTTGGACCACAAATTAAACCCAGACACACATATATAGTAATTGCAGTGCATGGATCAAATATCAGCAATTAACTACTGCACACTTGAAGCTGGATTTACACATACAAGGGGAAGAGTGCTCATTCCCCACCAGCTAAACTTGCCTGAATCTTGACCATACAGTGGCCCTTTGTACCTACCCTGAAATTCAAGGTACCTGTGATAAGTGGTGTCACGCTTTCTACTTTTTTTCATTTGATTATTGACATTGATCATTCTGAACCAGCCCTGGCACTTAATGTCGTCAATTTTTATATTCAAACCTTGTCATTTCTTTACTTTGAAATTGAGCTCTCCTGATCTAGCATGTATTCCTTTCTATCTTTATCATAAGACATTTTTAACTGTTTCACATATATTAAAAAAATTCATTTTTTGGA